AAAGGCAAACACCCTACCCGCTGCACTGTCCCTCTGGCCCTGCCTTTTCTTTTTAACCTTTCTTCCTCTCTCTCTCTCTCTGTTGTTGTTTTTCCTTCCTTATTCTTTCTTTCTCACTCTTTCTTTTCATTTCTGTTATTGTTTGTGTTTTTGTTTTGGGGTCACATGTGGCGGTTTCAGGGCTCATTCCTGGCTGGGCTCAGGGGATGATATAGGAAGCTGGGGGTTGAACCCGAGTTAGCCGGGCTCAAGACAAGCACCTTACCCACTGTACTATCGTGGTGGCCCCTCTCTTTAAAAAAAAAAAAATTATTAGTGAAACACCATGAGGTACAGTTGTAGACTTACACATTTTTGTGCTTGGGTTTCAGTTATACAGTGATCGAGCACCCATCCCTCCACCAGTGCGCATTCTCCACCACCAATGATCCCAGTAGCCCTCCCACCCCCCCAGCCCCCCACACCTCTGTGGCAGGGCATTCCCTTTTGTTCTTGGCCCCTCTCTCTCCTCTCTCTCTCTCTTTTTTTTTTTTTTTTGCTTTTTGGGTCATACCTGGCAATGCACAGGACTTACTCCTGGTTCATGCACTCAGGAATTACTCCTGGCAGTGCTCGGGGGACCATATGGGATGCTGGGGATCGAACCCAGGTCAGCTGCGTGCAAGGCAAACTCCCTACCCACTGTGCTATTGCTCCAGCCTGTGGCCCCTCTTTTTTTTATTAAAAAATTTTTTTAATAGTGAGACATCATGAGGTACAGTTGCAGACTTACACATGTTTGTGCTTGGGTTTCAATTATACAATGATCAAATACCCATCCCTCCACCGGTGCCCATTTCCCACCACCACGGATCCCAGTATCCCTCCCACCCCCTATCCCCTCCCATCCCACCCTGCCTCTGTGGCAGGGCATTCCCATCTGTTCTCTCTCTCCTTTTGGGTGTTGTGGTTTGCAAAAGAAACATTGAGTGGCAATCATGTTTGGTCTATAGTCTACTTGCAACATGCTTTTCCCATCCTGGGAGGATCCTCCCAACACCTTTATTTGGTGTTCCCTTCTTTATCTGAGCTCCCTTTTCCCCTAGTATGTGTGGTTGGCCTCCAAGTCATGGAGTAAAATTCCTGGTACTAATCTCCCGTGGCCCCTCTCTCTTACAGTCTCTTTTCCTCTCTCTCTCTCTCTCTCTCTCTCTCTCTCTCTCTCTCTCTCTCTCTTCCTTTCTTTCTTTCCCTCTTTCCCTCTTTCTTTCTCTCCATCTTTCTTTCTTTCTTTCTTTCTTTCTTTCCCTCTTTCTTTCCTTCTCTTTCTTTCTTTTTTTCTTTCTTGCTTTCTTTCTTGCTTTTTCTTTCTTCCTCTTTCTCTTCTCTCTTTCTCTCCTGAGGTCCCAGAATCCACGCAGGGCGTGACTTCAGCCCAGGTCCTCCGGGTGCTTTCTGCCCTAGTCCCAGGGGCAGGATGGGGAAGCGAGATGCCCGCGCTGGTGCCCATTGGCTGCGCTGGGGAAGTGATCTCCTGGGCACTTCCCTGGGAGCTTCCTTGGAGGCTGCAGAGGGACTCCTGCCGCAGGCACAGGCTGCTAGGACACAGCGCAGAGCAGCCAGGGAGGGGACCCAAGCGCCCAGGGGATCTGAGTGGCACCCAGTGTCCTTCCCCAGGCTCAGGAACTGGCTTGACCACGGTGCTGGCTACTCAAGGCCCAGATCCGAACCTTCAGCCAATCTTGCCTGCAGTACCCACAGAATTAAAACCAGAATCTGTCACTTCCTCTTGTAAAAGTTGTTTTTTTTTAAATTGTGGTAAAATAGCAGGCTTACTATTTTAAGCCTACTCGGATCGGGGCTGAGCATCCTCCACCCAGATCCTCTGAATTCCATTAGGCGGGGGTCACACCAAACAACTGGCCCCCTGGCACCGTGTAATCCCATCAGCGGCCAAGACTCAGAGTCTATAAAAATCAGCTCCCGGAACCGCACGGCCCCATTCGCAGCCGCGCGACATCTTATTATAACATCTTATTATCTCATTCCTACTTTGGACAAACTGGCAGGCTACCGAATGTAACTTGCCCACACGGCAGAGTCTGGCAAACTCCCCGTGATGTACCCAATATGCCAAATACCAGTAACAATGATGGGTCTCATTCTCTTAAAGAGCCTTGAATATAGCACTTTCTTAAAAGTCTCAGGGCTAGGATGAAGGAGACATTACTGGGGCCTGCTCGAGGCAATCGACGAATAACAGGATGGTCGTGATTCGTGATTCGTGGTAAAATAGATATAACACGAGCCCAAGTGGCATTAAGTACAGCATTAAGTACAGCATTAAGTACAGCCACTGGCCTCTTTACTGCTTGCAAAGCCAGGAGTCTGTACCAATTAAAACATTTACTTTATCCTCTCATCCACCAAGGACACCCAGGCCACTTCTGCTTCTTTTTGTTTTTGTTTTATTTTGCTTTGGGGGCTACACCTGGCAGTGCTCAGGGCTTACTCCTGGCTCTGAGCTCAGGGGTCCCTCCTGGCAGGCTTGAAGGGGACTATACAGGGTATCAAGAATCAAACCCAGCTTGGCTCTGGGTAAGGGAAACGCCCTTCCCACTGTACTATCAGTCTGACCCTTATTTTTGTTTTCCACATCCAACGGGACTCGGGGTTTGTTTCTGTCTCTGTACTCAGGAATTACTCCTGGAGGGCTGGGGGGACCATATGGGGTGCCAGGGATTGAACCCTGGTTGATTGCCTGCAAGGGAAGCATCTTGCCCACCATACTATCCCTCCAGCCCTACCGGACCCCACTTCTGCTTCTTGACCGCCAAGCGAGATACTCTTAGAGCACAGGAATATGGCTATCCCATCGAGTCTGCGCTCAGTTCTTTGGGGTATTTCCCCAGGAATGACCATTCAAGGTTAGATGATCTTAGGCCCCTCCTCACAGTGGCTGCACCAGTTCACTTCCCCACTGACTGCGCATGCATTGCAGGGTTTTGCGTCTCACCTGTTTTCTGTCTTCAGTCAAATCCCTTTGCACCCTCCCCATGATGATGACAGTGCTGACCCAAGCCTGTCCCGGCTGGATGACTAACAGAATCCTGGAATCCCGCTTACCTGCCCACTCCCACCTATCTGCCCCGGTGGACTCCCAACTTCCCTTCTCTGCCTGCCAGTAAGTTTCTACCAGGAGACAGAGCTCCTTACAGAGAAGCTACAGGCCTCTGGGGCTGGGCATGATCTGCTCCCCATCCCAACTGACTCATTTCCTACTAGCTCACTCTCCTCCAGGCCCACTGCAGTTTCCTGTTCCCAGCAGCTCACTGCCTCAGGGCCTTTGCCCAGGCTTCTCTGCCTGGCTCCTCTTATCTGAAGCCTTAACTTGCTTCTTTATTCCTCCCAGGTTTTGTTCAGATCTCTAGTCCCCTTGTTAGCTACTTTCTGTCCTGCTCTGTGCCTGAGGCAAAGGACCCCAGTACACCCCAGCTGCTGGGCTTTGCTGGGTCCTATCTAGGAGGCTCTGTTCGGAGAGGAAAGGCAAAGGGAGAGGTTGGAATCTGTCCCTCAAACTCTCCCTGTTCTGGCTTGCCCATGGCCCTTTTTAGACCAAGGCTTCATCTGGGAGGGGTGTCCTGCTCTCTCTGGACTGGCCCTCAACTCCCTGACTCCCGGAAACACCATTCTCTCACATCTTTTTTCCTTCAGTCCTTAGTATTTTCTGCTGTAGGTGATCCCCCGCAAGGCCTCAGCACCCCTGTTTGGAGCCTTGCCTGTTCCTCCAGTCCCTCCAGTAAGACTTGAACCCCAGGGGCTGGAGCAATAGCACAGCGGGTAGGGCGTTTGCCTTGCACGCGGCTGACCTGGTTTCGATTCCCAGCATCCCATATGGTGCCCTGAGCACCACCAGGGGTAATTCCTGAGTGCAGAGCCAGGAGTAACCCCTGTGCTTCGCCGGGTGTGATCCCAAAAAGGAAAAAAAAAAGACTTGAACCCCAGAGGGGCCGGAGACAGCAGGGAGCTTGCCTGACTTGTACGTGGCTGACCGGGGTTCAATCCTCAGCATCCCATATGGTCCCCCAAGCCCACCAGGAATGATCCCTGAGGGCAAAGCCAGGAGTAGGCCCTGAGCACTGCTGGGTGTGTCCCCCCAAAAAAGACTTGAACCCCAGAATCTGAATTCAGCCTCCTGCCAGGACCCAGGTGGAAACATTAGCAGGATCAGACTTGATTGGCAATTCCCACCCAATCTTCGTTCAGGTGAATCGCCTCATCCCATTCTGCCTCTGTTTTTCCACACAGCACAGAGGGTCATCACAGAGGGTTATCTTCCAGCCCTCCTCTCCTTCTCCCCCTCCCCCCACTTTGGGATGGAAGATCTAAGGGTGCCCAGAGATGTGTCTTTGGTTTGCTGCTGTATCTCCAGCGCTTGGCCGCGGACGGCCACAGCAAATATTTGTCGAATGAATGAACGACCAAGCAGGGAAGCTGGGGAGAAGCCGGCTAGCGCGGTCCAAGCCGCAGACGGAAGAGCTGACTCTCGGTTTCTCTGCTCTCCCCGCCCGCGCGGGAACGCCGAGAGCCAGGAGGCGGAAATGAGCGCGCTCCACAGCCCTCCAGCCGGGTGTTTACTTAATTAGAGCCTGGATCCCGAGGCTCGTTGGTGTTTAACTGTCCCCTTAATGACTTCATCTGGCTCCGAGCGGGCGCTGGGGAGCTGGAGAGGCGAGCAGAGGCGGGGCTACCGGGCACCGCCAGGGGCTTGCGCTGCCACGCACGGTGCACCCGGGAGCGGGTGTCTAAACTCTCCGAGGCGCGCAGATTGCCCCCGGCGGGTGCGGGGATGCCGCAGCGGGGCACAGAGGTCACCAAGCCACCTTGGGCTTTCCCTGTGCGCCACAAAGCGCCCACCTCCGGGACCGCGCGCCCGGCGTACCAGGTGCCCATCGCTGGCTCGCCCCTCCACCGTGATGCGAACAGATCCCAGCATTTCCTCGGTTTCTCTCGCTTGCGGAATGTCGGGGCTCCACGGAGGAAAGAGTTTGCGAGGCAGAGGCGAAATGAGCCGCATCCTCAAGCCAGATAGTACCGGATGGCCTGGGGGCAGCTCGCCCTGTGCCAGGAAGTGCCCCGAGCGTGTTCACGGTGCTGATTTCCTCGCGCCAGCCCGTGTGCGTTCCCCTCGCTCGTCCTCGCACTGCGAAGGCAGATGTTCGATCTGCCCGCTTTGACGCAGGCAGAACCGAGGCCGGGCTGGGGGTGGGGTGGTGGGTGAGGCCACAGCGCGGGAGGTGGAGCGGGGTTAAACCCAGTGGGTGCCCAACTGGAGGGGGGATGTCCACAGCCGCAGGGCTCAAGCAGGCCTCCTCTTGGCTTAAGCGCGGGTGGCCAGGAGGACGCAGGGCACCAGGTTAGCCCCGGGGACCGAAGCATCCATAGGAGACTCCCCCGGTCTCTGCATCTGAGCTGCAGAGTGGCGGGCGTGCTCCGGGGGTCCTGAGGGCGGCTCTGGGAGAGGGAGGGAGAGGCAAGGCTAGGGGGGTGAGGAGGCGCGCGGGGGTGGGGGTGGGGGTCCCTCGTGTGTGCCGGCGCTGTCACACCCACACAATTCGGCCTCAAACCTCCTTTATTGACTTTCCTCGTAAAGTGGGGAAGTCGTTTATTATTTCTCCTTGGCGGCGGGGAGGGGCGTGCTGGAGACGTTGGGGGCTGGTGACCACCCCACCCCTTCCCTCGCACCCCTGGGCGCCAGCGGGCTTCGGAACTCGTCCCTCCTCTCTAGGTTGGGGTGTAAGAGGGAAGTTACGGTTCTGCCGCGGGTGTAGCAGAGACAGTAACGAGTTCCCCGGGGGACGCAGCTGACAGTTTGGATCTTTTACCTGGAAGCCCCAGAGAGGGTTGGCGTGGGAGGAGGGAGGTCCCTACGGTGGCCCCAGTCCAAACTTTGCGTGCCTCGGGGACAGCACGAACCCCTGCGTCCAGCGGGGCGCACACGCGGCTCCCCATTGTCCGCGGTAACCGCCAGGCACGGGAACCTTTTTCCTCGAGGGCTGCGCGGGCTGAGGGCGTGGGGCGGGGTTTGGGCGGGGGATGGTGTTGATGCTCCCTCCTCGGAACCCTCGAACCCGCGAGTCCGGGCCTGGGGTCTCAGCCCCCGGCCGCCGCAGAAACCCCGGAGCGGTGCCCAGCGGGCCCGGCCCCGCCCGCCGCGGCCCCACCTGCGAGGGGGCGTGGCCTGGCGGCGCGGGCCAATCAGCGCGCACCTGCGCTCACCTGGACCCGCGCGGGCGGCCGCGAGTCGCGCTGCTCACTCGCGCTCCGAGGGCCCCGCGAGCCTGGCGCGCCGTCGCGGCCGCCGCCACCGCTGTCTCCGGCCATGGGGCTCCCCGCGAACGTGCCTCTCGCGTCCCTCCTCGCCCGCCTCTTCCTCCTGCTGCAGGTACGCCGCCGCCCGCTCGCTCCCGGGGGGTGCCACGCGCCCGGAGAGGGGGTGCAAGCCGGACCCCGCCGTGACCCCGACCCTCCTCTGCCCCTCTCCCCGCAGGCGCAGCAGGTTTGCTGGCCGCCCCGCCGGGCGGCCTTTGCCGAGGCCGAAGTGACCTTGCCGGCGGCAGGCGCGGAGCTGGACCCCCTCCAGGCGCGGGGGCACGGTGAGACCCCACCCCCCCGGGACCGGGGCGCCGGGCCGGGCAGGGAGGAGCGCACGTGGTCTGCGCGTGGGGGGCTGGCGTGGGGGGGGTGCATCCCGGCTGGGCAGGGACCGGGCGGCGATCCTTGGAAGGGGCCCCTCCGCGGAGCTGCCCCGCCGGCCTGGACGTGGGAAGTTCGCCCCCGCGGCGGAATGCGCCGCCCTCCCTCCTCCCCCACTCCCCGCGCAGGTGTGGGGATGCGCCGAGCCCCCCGGCGGCCCCCTCGCCCCTCTCGGGCCCCTTTGTCCACGGGGCTTTGTGTCTCCGACAGACAGACCAGGTCTGTTTCTCTTCTTCGCGCGGCGCTCCCCCGCCGCCCCCCTCCTCCCCCGGCAGCTGGAATGCACTCTTAACCCTGCCCTTCCCGGAGTGCCGCCGTCCCAAAGCCGGGCCGGGCACACCTGGGCTGCGGCCATCACGCACGCGGGACGCCCCCCACACACACCCCCAGGCCGCCTCCCCGCCGCTGCACGCCCCGCGCCTTGGAGCCGGAATGTTAGGGTGCCTGCGGAAGGGGGTGCACCGGGTGGAGGCCAGGCGCATTTCTGGTCTTGGTCTTCCCAAGTATTTGCCCCCTTGAGCACGGTGGTGACTCTTTATGTGCGGAGAATCTTTATGTTCTGAGATCAAGGAGCTCTTAGGGGCCCTTTCCCTCCTTGCAAGGACTTGGGGGGAGATCACCTCAAGCCAGTGTTTGTATTTTATTTGGGGGACACATCCGGCTTGCTCAGGGATCACTCCTGGTTCTCTGCTTGGGAGACCAGATGAGGTACCAGGGCTGAATTCTGGTTGGGAGAGCAGGGGTGCAGGGCCCACCCTACCATCTCTTCTTGGGCCTTACTGGGTTTTCTTAACTGGAGCCCGGTGTGAGGTGTGCGTGCGTGGCTCGGTGGACCTGGCTTTCAGGACAAATGAGGCTTTGCCAGCATTTTCTGATGCTCCAACAGCCCACCCCGCACCAGATATAATTCCCCTGCCTGAGTGTGTCAGCGCCCACCTTGGGGACTGAACACCCCACCTTTGTTTCTCCCAAAGCCTATTGGGGGGGCCTTTGAGTGTGTGGAGGCCTTTCCCCCCCCCCCCCCCCCTTCTTCCTCTTCCTTTCCTAAATACTCTGCAGGTTGACAAAAACAATTAACACCCAGGCTAGGCTGAGCTCCTTAAACTCTTGGCTGCAGGGAGCCGGGGAGAGGCATTAAGAGGCCATGCCTCATAAATTTGAAATTCCTGCACAGGGGTTTATTACTGACTGGCTAACGAACTGAAACTCAGCCAACCTGTAAAAATGTTAACTTGGGCAAGGCCCCAAATTCAATTCCGGCTCCCCGAGGAAGCTTTATTGCTGAGCCAACCCCTGCCAGAGCAAGACCCCTCGCATCTCACTGTCAAGTTCCCCCCATGCACTCTCGGGGCAGCCTCTGACTTATCTTCCCCCTGGGCAGTGGCAGATTAACTGTCACGAAATGGAACTGAGGTGGTTGAGGGGACTCGGGGATCAGGTTTTTTCGTTTTCACGGTCCGGTTGGCAAGTGCTTCCTGGTGACGTCAGGAAGGCATTTCAAGGCTTTCTGAGAGAATTCTGCTCTCTCTCAGATGTGTCTGGTTTACGCTGCTGAAAGGGTGGGTTCATGCCAGCGGCCCACCTGGATTGTCGAGCTGAGGGTGGGCTGAAGTGCCTGGCCAGCCTGCGGCTTCCTGGCCACATGATGGGCAGGAGGGCAGCGCAGAGCAGAATCTCTGAAGGAGGCTTCAGGCTTCTCTTTAAACTGAGTGCAAGGGGGGCCTGTGTGATGGTGGTACAGAGGGGAGGGCGCTGGCCTTGCACAGGTTTGATCACTGACACCCTTTATGGTCCCCTGAGGCCCTGCCAGAAAAGATCCCTGAGCGCAAAGCCAGAATTGAGAATCAGGCTGTGTGGCGCAAAATAAAAAAAAAAACAAAAAAAGTGCAAGTTTCTGGACCCAGGGGCTGGAGCGATAGTACAGAGGGTAGGGTGTTTGCCTTGTATGCGGCAGACCCATGTTCAATCCCCGGCATCCCATATGGTCCCCCGGGCACCGCCAGGAGTAATTCCTAAGTGCACAGCCGGGAGTAACCCCTGAGCATTGCTGGGTGTGACCCAAAAAGCAAAAAAAAAGGTTTCTGGAGCCAGTTGGTTCCAATAAGTTGCCCCACCGCACCCCAAATTCTGGCATTGCTTTCCTTAATCCTCAGCGAGCCCCAACATCTTCCTCCCTCCATCCCAGCTCTCATCTCTCCTCAGCACCCAGCATGGGTCCGGCATGTTGAAAGGGTTATCCTGAGGGTACATGTGCACTCGCAAGTTTGGCCAAGCAGACAACACTTTCCATATTGCAAAAGAGGAGCCGGCCCTGTTGGCCCCCCGGGTTATGAATATCACAGGTGTCTGTGAAGCTGAGCTCAAGGAAATTATCTGATATAATTAATACCTTGTTTGTATGTGCACTTTCCTCTTCAAAGCCCTGCCACAGCTCTGAGCTTGCTTTATCCTCCTGACATTCTCTTGAAGCTGGGAAGGTAAATATTAAAACAACTTGAGCTCTTAATCTCCTAGTTGGGACTTCAGAAACCCTCTAACCCAGCCCTGCTGGGGGTTGGAAAGGTGGAGCAACAGAGGAAGAGCTTAAAAGATTCCCTTCCCTCCACTCAAAGGCCCCAGTACTGCTCTCAGAGTCACAGACCAGACTTTTCCCTCTGGGTATCAGCCCAGCGCCTGGTCCATCACAGCCACCCTGGGAGGTTCTGCCACCTGGCAGGTGATGAAACACAGAGCTGGTTTCATGCAGTCCTCGAAGGAGTGTCCCGTTGGGCCCCCAAGGGCAGTTTCCAACTGCCAGTTCCCTGCCTGGTAGTTTTTACTTCCAGGAAATGGGAGGCGGGGAGAATGAGATGGAAGGTGGGGGACACTGAATCCCCCCGGCCACCAGTAACAGCTTCCTAGCCCCGGAGCAGTTAGCCGCTGGTTCCTTTCCTTTTTCAGAAACGCATCCAGAAGATATGGGTATAGTCCGTGTCCTAATGATGGGCTCAGGGAGATGGAGAGTGAATCATCATTGTGGAGGAGGCCAGGGAAGAGCCTCGCCACTGTTGGGGGACCCCACTTGCCCCTGAGAAGTGGGAGGAGGGGACTTGCACGGGCTTGGTGCGGTGGGGGGCCCAGACCTCCTGAATGCAGGGAGCCTACAGTAAAACCATTCTGGCCCTCCATTAGGGCCCTCGTGGAGGCTCAGTCACCCGGCACTGAGCTGAGATGAAAGCCAGCCCTCATTAGCTTTGGGAGGAAACTTCAAAGTTCAGTGAGGACTCAGGGTGAGGTAACTTCAAGACAGTTTTGCCAATTTTAACTTGTGTAAAAATTACCTGTAATTTTGGAGGCCCTGGGAGCAGGGATGTAGCTCATCCGTAGCTCACTTGCCTTACATGTGTGAGGTCCTGGGGTCCATCCCTGGCACCACAAAAAAAAAAAAAGCCCCCTTTTATCAGTAAACACATATTTGCATTGGCCTCTATCGGGCATTGTTCTAGAACTGCAGCTGAAGTAGTGACCAAAATGAAGTCTTTGCCCTTGGGCAATTTTTGGTCTAATATCAATTTTGGGGGGGGGAGTTGAGGGTCTTGGGCCACACTTAGCTGTGCTTAAAGCTTACTCCTGGCTTTCTCAGGGATCACTCCTAGTAAGGCTTGTGGACTTTATGGGGTGCCAGGGATCAGATCTGGGGGGTCAGGCTTGTGCAAAGCAAGCGCCTCACCTGCTGTACTATTGGTTGGGCCCCTAATCTAAATTTTTATGTCTAGGATTGTCCCGAGAGCAAGTAGTGGTAACTGCCCGTTCCTATCACCCCCAGTGGTGATAAATTGCTGTGAGGCTCCTGGGCAGTCAGGAGTGAAGGCCCCGCCCTCCTCCTGGCCTGCAGTGCCTGATGGAACTGCCGCCGGGCAGTGGCTGTTTGGGAACTGGAGCTTGGAGGTGCCCGCTGCCTTCCTGCCCATGGCAGCCTTGTCCATCCCTGTTGGCAGGCCTCAGCCCTCTGCCCCGACACTCCTCCCTTGGCACGGCACTCTGCTCCTAGGCTCCCTCCTCTCTGGGGAGGAGACTGCTACTTCTCAGTACCAGGGGAGGAGCTAGAGAAGGGTCTCTCCGCCCTAGTTGGCGATGGGCAGCGATGGGCGTCCATCCACACACCCACACACATCCATCCACACACCCGCGACAGGAAGGGCAGGTGGAGACAGGATGAGGTCACAGCGCCCTGGGCTTCACATGCTGAAGCTCCACATGCCCGCAGATGTCCCTTCCCTAGGCAGCCCCAGAAACCCTCTCTCCCACCTGGGGGTAGATGGAGGCATCTGGAAGGAGCCCCCTGAGGAAGAACATCTCTCAGCTGCTGCCAAAGCCGTGCTGTGAGGTTCCTACTCCTCTGAGTGTAGCCGTCAGGGGATCTGTGTGTGTGTGTGTTGTGTGGGTGTGGGTGTAGCCATCAAGGGATCTGTGTGTGTGTGTCTGTTTGTTTGGGTGTAGCCATCAAGGGATCTGTTTGTGTTGTGTGTGTCTGTGTGTGTGGCTGTAGCTACTGAGGAATCTCTGTGTGTCTGGGTATAGCTGTCGAGGAATCTTTGTGTGTGTGGGGGGGGGGGGGTGAGTGTGTGTGTGTATCCATTGCAGGGTATTACCCACCCTCCTGTCGATAGGCGTTTTGAGTTTCCGTTTGTTGGCTGCTGTGAACGTGGTTGTCTCCGCCCTGATCTATGAGGTGCGTGGCTGGGAGTATGTTTGCCGGTTGCTGTGGATTACTCTGGACTGTGGCGGGTACCGAGAAGCTACCTTCTCTGTGTTGAAGTTTAGCGGAATCTTCTGGATTCTCCCCTGGCCCTGTACTGAGACTCTTGGGTGAGTGGAGAAATATTTTCCTCTGTCTTCAGGCCAGTCAGTGCTGGTTACT